CGCTCTCTATCTGCATGTTTATCTACTAACATCGTCTTATTTGTTTTCTATCTGTCTACCAGCTCGAACAAATAAATATTTTCAATCTTTCCAAAGAAACATAGAACAAGGTCTGTTCAGAAAAGTATCTAACCATTTAATAATAATGGCATAAATAGTTTACCCCAAACAATGGCTTCTTAGTACCTTTCAAAATGTTCTTCCTGGAACCTTCTCCTCCCGAAAACAGCCTTTTTGGAACGTCACCAGTTGCTTCTTCCCGCTCTCTTTAATCTTGCCCACGATGTCTCAACTTAAATATTGCCAAAGATCGTAGGTAACCGTATTTTGGTTATAGTGCTATGGGTGGCACACAGTTTTAAGTTATGTGAAGCATTGTCAGAAACCTTGCAAAATGCTTGAAAATTCTACTCATCCGCTCTAGTCACACAGTACACAATCTCACTCAATGGTGTTTTGAAAAACAATTCCTAGATATTTAATTTTTGTACTTGGCCTCCAATTTGTAATTTGCATGTTTGACACTTCTTTTTAACTGGTATAGAAGATATTAAATGATAAGTTCTAAAGGATAAAATGGCTTTTGTAGTAAAGAATAATGGATCCTGGGATTTTTAATAAATTATATTTATGAAGAAAGGTTAGTTGGCAGTTTTTAGGCCTGAAACCAGCCAGACAATCTTTATGCTGTAGTTAAAAATATGCATTAATGGAATTCTGTACATGTTTGCGGAAGTGAATAAGCAATCGATCTCCGTTTTCTGAAAAGGTCTATGGCATATCAGGCAAATGATAGACTCAAATTAAAAGGATTGAACATTACCTTTATTACATAAGAATAAAGTAAACATTGAAAGGAAGCACAATACAAAACTGCTTGTCTATTTTGGTGAAACGCTGAAGGTCAATGTTCAGATCGACGCCTCCTTTATATTTAAAACAATTTCTTTAGACAGTTAATCGGTTGAGATGTTCAGGGTTACTGGACGGAAAGATATTACCAATACATCATGATTTTTTAAAAGTATTGTTCCTACTGGATTTCGATTGATAATAAACTTGACCTAAGTGTTTCAAAAATACCAAATAGTGTTTTTTAAGCTGAAGCGACTCCGGATTGGGAAGTGACAATGTAATTCTTATGGAATCGGGAAAAAAAAGACTCTTATATTTATATATAGTAATACTTAACCCATTGACAGTGTCTGCAATGGAGGAATTGTTAACAATTTAATCTTTCTGACCAGGCACCGCGTGAGACATTTATGCGCTCGGAAGAGCATAATCTACCCTCGATGCAAGGATGGAAGAAAATAATAATTTTCTTTCTTGCTCCATGAAGATAAGCAAAAACTCAAAATTCTGGAAGCCATTTTTACAAAAGAATTGCGGCCAAAAATAAATAGACTCAACTAGGAGTATAGCAACAAGTTCTTAAATGTTTGTAGCAGCAAAGTGTTATATGAAAAATACTAAAAAAAAATTCTTTAAAAAATTACATAAGTCACCTGCCTTGCCCAGAGTTAAAAAATATATTTCAATTTACGGTGTTAACGCATGACATCCGTAGATATGCACTTCTTGAAGATGGTTTCAGCTGAGGTTGAAAGTACTCGTGAAAATATAAATTATTTAAAAGAAAATTTTGGAATATTTCTTAAGTAATTTTCTAGACACCAACAATTCGTGAGCTTGAAAGGATTAAAACTAAAATAAATAGACATAATACATTTAAATTATTTAACCAAACATGTATATATATATATATATATATATATATATATATATATATATATATATATATATATTATCAAACGTTTTAGTGTTGACAAGCTCCAGGAAATTTATCGAGGAGCGAAATGTCCATAAAATGGGGTACAATTGAGTTTCATTTTTTATGTAATTCATTTCTACGTTCTATAATCTTTTGGGGATAAGTTTTAATATTTTATATTAATAGGATTCACTTGGATTAATTACCCACGGATTTTTTACCTGCATATATATATATATATATATATATATATATATATATATATATATATATATATATATATATATTGCAGTAAGGGTTAGAGCACAAATAGGATATCCGGAGAAGACATAGGAAAAATCGAAAAATCAAAATAATAAAAAGTAACTGCAAAAGTAACAGGTTTTATACATTGAGGACAGGCGTGTTTATTTGATGGAATTTTTTGACTAAATTTGAAGAAATAAAGTTAGAATATTCTATCGAGTTGTGTTTGAATTTCTCCAGGAAGGTTAAGATCGCACTTCCACAAACACATTTGTGTTTCTTTCCTTAATATTTTTAATGTGGTCCTACAGAAGGATACTGAGGATACCATGAACCAAACATGTGAAAATGGAAAGAAAAAGGAAACTTATACTTAACATCAGTGAGAGGCAGTTGAAATTTCTGTGGCACGTACTGAGGAAGGAAGGTTTAGAAAATCTGATACTCACAGGACAGATTGAGATAAAGAGGAACAGAGGAAACCGGCGCATAACACACTTGATGAGCTTCAGTAAATGGATTGTAGAACAGGGTATGGGAGAAATAACAAAAAGTCAAAACTTATTGGGAGCTATAAAGGACAGGAAGATGTGGAGAGTCATGATCGTATACGCCTTGAAGAGACACGACACATAAAAGGAAACCAGATTGGCGGAAGGACTAGATGTAACTGTAAGTTATATGCTAATAGTTTCTTCTATCGCATTTCTCGCTTGTGGAACACCCCCCGGCTTCTTGCATCCCAGTCAACTTTGATCTTCAAATATTTAAATGCAATGGCAATCGTTATCTTCTGTCTTCTTAATTCCTATTCTCGTATTGTTCTCTCCCCTTAATTGTTCTATCTCCTTAATTTTCTTATTGCGAACGCTGAACATTCTCCTCACATATTACGAAGAGTAATAATTCTACAAATGGACCGAACATGTGAGAAACGACCAAGTTCTAGAGAAAATAGAACAAAAAGGATACTTATATTTAACATCGGGAAGAAACAGCTGAAATTTCTAGGAAACAGGGCTTGGAAAATTTGAAACTCACAGGACAGATTGAAGGCAAGAGGGACAGAGAAAAACAACGCATAACCTACCTAGTATTAGTAAAACAAGGAACAACTTTGAGGAGAGATATCAGAAAGACAAAATTTATTAACACTATTTACATTATTCGGACTATTGTCCACATCTTTGTTACCACAACGTTTCGTCCGTTGTACGCTCCGACCTTCTTCAGGTGGTTGGAATGTCGAACTGAACACTTTATTTCGTTTTTTGGGGTAGACAGTTCTAACTCCATGTGCCCTGTCGAATGGATGTCAGTTATCAGTTATCTCCTGTTAATTCACCTCTCCTGCCTTAACCAGGTATTGAACTCACAACTCTTTGGGTCCGGTCGCTGGATCTAATCAACGCCTTTATCCACTGTGCCATGTGCCCCTGTGCGAGTGAAATAAAGGGTTCAGTTCGACATTCCAACCACCTGAAGAAGGCCGGAGCGTACAACGGCCGAAACGTTGTGATAAATATGACAACAAAGATGCGAACAATAGCCCGAATAATGTAAATAGTGTACATAATACCTCACCTCAGAAATATAGACAGTTACCAATAGTACAAAAGATAGGAAATTGTGGGGAGCTATGATTGCCAACGTCCTGAAGAGACACGGTACATAAAAGAAGAATGCATGTGGACATAAAATGAAGATGGAGGTCGATCAGGCGTTCTGAAAAATAAAGAATGAAAACTTAATGGATAGATCTGATCTTCTCTGACCGAAGAAAAAAGTATGCTAGATTAAACCTCGCTGAAAACATATTCGTTATTAAAACGCAACGGAAATCATAACCATCGTCAGTCTTATGACCCGATGTGGTCGAAGGGACACGTTGGTGCAGTGGAACACTTGACCAGTTCACTCGACATATCTGGGTTCAAAGCCAGAGAGGTATTGATTCTCGTGTAGTGTGTCTTGGGCAATCCCTCTCCTGTCAAACCACAGCTGAAGTCCTCCAACTTAAGGTCTCGCTTTGATCAGGGATACGTTTCCGTTGATTTCAATCAAGGTACTCTCCGCTCTGGTCGTTGACATCAGTCTAGGAAGCCATCCACTCAGTGACGCCGTGTCATCACCGTACTGCATGCATACATAGCTATGAAACCCAGTCGACCTAGTGTAAGATGGCGGTCGTCTCTAAAAGAAGGTTCATATTCCCTTTGACGAGTTACTGGGTGCCTCGCCTGGTGGTGGAACCGGTTTAAGCAGTACTTCGTTACATATTACCAGTAGCACATATAGAGTGACTTCTATTAATCAAGAGAGATAAGAGGAAAGACGTACTAGTGAAAATAATAATAATAATAATTGACAATGCTTTATCTAATAAGAATTCAAGATAATATTACGACTAATACTAGTAGTGGATTCTGAGTTGTTGGACTATGAATTTAGTAGGCAATTCAATAGTCACGATACTACAAGCAGACATTTATTTATTATAGCCAAATCTATTTTAGAGAATATTTACAGCATAAGTTTTTTTTTCAGAGAAGGGCGTGTATATTTTGTATATCAATCTTTGAAACCTACCTTTTGCCTACATTCGAACGTCGAACACATGTGCACGCGAAAGCGTATAGTCGGCCCTAGTAATCAGTTCCAATTTTTTTTCTTTTATCATGTTATTTTTTTCATGAATCATCGTAAATCTACTGACTGCCATATGTGAAGCACTTTTTGTTTTCTCTCCCCACTTTGTAGTCCTTGCATCGCGTTAATTTGATTGCCGACATCGAGTATTTTACAAGTAGATTGATTGTGTGGGCTTTAAAAAATAAATCGGTAGGCGCAGAAATCCAGCTGGTCTTGTTGAACAAAAAGAAAAACCTGTGCCAAGAAAAAAAAATTACATCTGGGTTGAAACCGAGGAGAAGAATGAGGTCTGCCTCTCTAGTAGTCACGCGTCTTGCACACGACGTTTTTATTGAGTGAACGGTACCCACAGAGGCCTTCGCGCTGCACGCTCTGTACTGGATGACTGGAAGAGATCCGAGCTGAAGCCAGTACGTACAGCGACGCGACAGATTGAAGGAAGCGCACATGGTAAATAAACAATCGCAAATTGTGCGATGTTTGGAGGCGGGAAATGATATAAAGGATTATTAACAACAAGGGAAGTAAGTTGTGGATTTTTGCATCTTATTCTCTCCAAAGAGAAGATGCACTTCTGATCACACAAATGAACGAAAAGGATGCACTCATAAAGGAAAACATTAAATGCTGAAGCTCTTTTGCCAGATACTTCATTCCATCCCGTAATAAACAGTGTCCCGAGCTATAAATTTACAAAGAAGATTTAATCTTATTGTAAAAACATTTTTGTATGAATGTCTTTATTATAGTCATTAGAGCCATAACGTTGTGGTTGGTGTTTTCTCCAAAATTCTTCAGATATATGTCTTTTCCTTTATAGATAGATAAATAGATAGATAGATATAAACAGCCTGAGATAGATAGATAGATAGATAGATAGATAGATAGATAGATAGATATAAACACCCTGCAAACAAAAAACTATCATTATTGTTTTGTCCGTGTATTGGTTAATATATTGTAATATAATTGTCATCTTTGATAATGGCTTATGTAAGCCGGAAGCTTTGATAGGATTAAAAATATGTAACAATATGTTGATTTTCTTTCGTCTTTTAATGATAATGTTATTAAGCTTATCAGACGATATGAAAAGAATTTACCTAAAATAAATAGACAAAACTCATCTATAATATTTAATGAAACATGCATCAATATATATATATATATATATATATATATATATATATATATATATATATATATATATATACACAACAGTTCAAAAGTCTGACGCCATCCCTAGTAATTTTTATTACAAATTTTATTATGACGAAAAGAAAAAGAGCATGTCAGGATTAAATTTTACTCTCGTCCAAATATCCTCCTTAACCTCTTGATCTCGGCAGCATAAATTTTTGGCATTCATTGTAAAAGTTTCTCAAAGTATAAGTTTGATAAATGATTCCATTCTTTTTTTTTTCAATGACTCTAAGAGCTATTTTAACTTTTTTTTTTTTTTTCTCTTTTGTCAAGTTCTTACCATGATAATTCTAAAGGTAGCTTCAAACTTTTGAATTGTAGTATATATACACACATATATATATATATATATATATATATATATATATATATATATATATATATATTATTAAAGACATTTTTATGTTTAACGTTGTTATTTTATAGATACAAGTATTTAAGCAAATGTTTCTGTTTATGATAAACAGTATTAAATAACATTTACCGGCCTGAATGTCCGAGAAATGTTATTTAATACTGTTTATCATAAACAGAGCATTTGCTTAAATACTTGTATCTATAAATAACAACGTTAAACATAAAAATGTCTTTAATAAATAAATTGTCGGACCTTGTCCATTTCTTAATATATATATATATATATATATATATATATATATATATATATATATATTGAAATGGACAAAGTCCGACAATTATTTTTAAGACATTTTTATGTTTATACGTTCTTTTTTTATAGATACAAATATTTAAGTAAATGCTCTGTTTTGTCCATTTCATAATGTATGACGCCATTTGCTTACATTTGGATACGCATTGAGCAGATATGAATGAATGAGAGAAAATCATGGAGAATTGTGTTTAAAAGCAGTAAAATCGACGTTGCTAATCGAACGCTCCTCTGTGGTCCAATCAGTTAAGACACATCAGTCTATATGACGGTTCCGTATAGGATACAGGTTCGATTCCTATCGGAGGACGCATATGTTCTATGAAAATTTCTCGGACATTCAGGCCGGTAAATGTTGTTAATACTGTTTATTATAAACAGAACATTCACTTAAATATTTGGATCTATAAAAAAAGAACGTATAAACATATATATATATATATATATATATATCTCAATTCCTGGCTATATTCCTCTATTCAGGAAGGACTCTAATGTCCGCATGGCCTGCGAAAATCTCCCGGTTCTAGAGAATCTCCAGACTAGTCTTCCATGTGTGTCTGTCTCTGTCTATTAAACTCAGTTATCTCTTCTTTCTCTACCGTTCCTCTTCTCCTCATGACTGTTGCGTGCTAGATTGTATTTCTGATAATATAGACAAGGCCAACTCCATACACCCGTTTGCAAATATATATATATATATATGTGTGTGTGTGTGTGTGTGTGTGTGTGTGTGTGTGTGTGTGTGTGTGTGTGTGAGTTTAATGCTCACCATGCCCATTGACTTAAACACTCTGTCACTGACCTCACTGGCATCCAAACTCTGAATTTTTTAATCACTCAATCTCCCACGCGTTTCCCCAGTAACCCTGGTGGTCAGGCTTCTCTTCTAGCTCTCATTTTACCTCAATCTATGACTCATGTCGTACCATGCAGTTCTGCCCTCTTGGCAACTCTGATCCTGCGGTAGTGCCTGTAAATATCTCTTTCCACTCCCCCACCAGCCAAGAACCCCTTACCAATAGTCTATATTTCTGTTATCAACGAGCGGATTGGGACTCGTTCTGTGATTTCCTTCATGACATCCCCTGAAACCAAGATTTTAATCATCTTGCTAAAACTTGCGCGTCTGAGGCCTCCTCCTGGGTGAAAGCTGGCATTTTTGCATTCATTCCAGCAAGGATATACCAAGTTTAATCGTATTCATCTCCTTGGTTCTCACCTGCATACTCGACCGCTATAGCCCACAGGAATCACTTCTTCCGGCTGTACCAGAGAGACGCGTCTGATTGCAACAGACGTCTCTTTGTCTCTGCTCATAATGAATGCGTGTCCTCAAAATAGAATGATAGAATGAAACAACGTATAACATCTTGCAAGTTCGGTTCTAGAGATTATTGGCGGCTCAATCCTCAATCTTTCCTCTTTTCAATGATTTCGATGTCCTGATATCTACAGCAGATAAGGTTGAATACTTTGCTGGGAAATACTCTTCCAATTCAACACTCGACTCATTTAGAGTACCCACACCTGATTTCCCCAATAAGACAAAGTTTCTACTGAATGATATGCGCATAACCCCGTCACTGGTCTCAGAAATCATTTCTAAATTAAACTCCCATAAGGCAAGCGGAGGTGACGGGGATCCCAATCATCGTCCTAAAGAAATGTGCTCCCGAACTGGATCCATTTCTCTACAAACTCTACAAATATTGCCTCGATGTTTTCCCGTTTGTTGGAAGTCCTCTGTAGTTTCTGTTTTTAAAAACTCTGGAGAATCTTCTGATCCTTCAAATAATCGCCCTCTTATCGCTTTTCGGCCAAATATCCGAGGCTCAAATCAATGCTAAAAATAGTTAAGTATCTGACCTCTCACGACCTACTCTCTGACAGACAAGATGCCTTCCGTTTTGTCAGGCCTACCTCTGATATTGTAACGGCTATCACTGAATATATATATATATATATATATATATATATATGTTGTGTATGATACACCTAATTTACATAAGTGGAGTACCGACCATATAAATATGGGTTGGTACCGGAAGACGACGGAAGATTAAGAGATCGAATCCAGAGACTCTGCCCGACTGCGACTTAGTCAACCCATTCTGCAGGAACAGTCTTCCCAAGAATATACCAAAACTACCTGTAAATATTGTGTACTTTTTTTCATTGTTTCAATACATTTTGTTACGTACATTTTGTGTTGTATTATTATTATTCCATGCTTATTCAAGCTTCAACAATATATATATATATATATATATATATCAAGCTATTTATAATAACGGCGAATCTTGAGCTGGGGCTCTAGATATCTCGAAGGCGTTTGACAGGGTTTGGCACGCTGGTCTTCTACATAAGGTCCAGGGCTACGGTATTACTGGACGATTGTTTGATTTAATCTAATCACTCCTATCTATTCGTGAAATGAAGGTCGTTTTGAACGGGTTTGCTTTCAGATCCTTCCACGTAAACGCGGTTGTCCCCCAAGGCCCTATCCTGGTTCCTATGCTATTTTTTGATCTTCATCAGTGATCTCTCTCATGACATCAGTTCCCTAGTAGGCATTTATGCCGATGACACTACCAATTCTCAGCAGCAAATCCGTCAGAGCTGACAAAGTTAACCTGGCCGCTGCTCTTGAAAAAGACCTCCAATCTCTTGATAACTGCGGAAATGGCTCGTAAATTTCAATGCCTCCAAAACGAAACTACTCTCATTTCACAAACATCGAGAAACTTTCTTGCGGCGATCAGCGTGGCTGATGCTATACTAATCGAAAGCAACACACTGGGCCTTCAAATGTCTTGAAGTGGAACGTCTACATCGAATCAAGAGCTGCATCTACGGCAAGGAAAGTTGGGTCACTGGCGTACCAGAAGATTTGGACATTTAAAAATCTACCATTTGTCTGTGCATTGAATACTGTTGCCATATCTGGTCTGGTGTCCCTGCTTTTCATCTCAAGGTTCTTAACAAGATCCAAAAAAGGATCTGCAATTTAATCGATCCTGATTTGGCATCTCGACTTCAGTCACATTCTCACCATTATGACATGGTCTCCCGCTGTCTTTTCTATAAATATTTTCATGGCAACTGCTCTGACGAGCTTTTTTCCCTGGTGACTGGACTACGTGAAATTAAGTGTGCTACTAGATTGGCATCTAGGTCCCACGCGTTTACTGCTGAATTAGTTAAATGTAACCGCCACTTTTACTCCAACAGTTTATTTTCTCGCACTTCCGACCCGAGGAACTCCCTTCCGTTTACTTGCTTCTCTGATAACTACAATATTCAAATATTTAAATGTAACGTCGGTCGTCATCTTCTATCTTCTTCAACCCCGTTCAACTATTATCTCTCCCTTGGTCCCCCTATACCCCAGTCTTTTCTCTCCCCTCCACTCTCTGTAATCCTCTGGGTATAGAGTCATTCCCGCCTTGCTTGGGGTGAAACGATTAAACATATATATATATATATATATATATATGTGTGTGTGTGTGTGTGTGTGTGTGTGTGTGTGTGTGTGTGTGTGTTGTGCGTTTGAGTAGCAATTCCGCTAGCATAACTTAAAACAATATTTTATCATATATATTATAAATATGTGTGTGTATGTGTGCGTGTGTGTGTGAGTACGCGCGTGCAGTGGTGATGGCGAAAATATGTGCATGTTGGTAGGAATAATTAAGTATAAATGAATCGATATAAATTTCCTACTAATTTTTTTTTCTGAAGTTATTTTTTCTTCTTTTAGCAAAGAAAATCCTTTTATTAATCTATTCCTGTTTATATTCCATAATATAATAATATCTATAAATAATATTTATTATTTTCATTACAAGTCATTTACGATATCACAGGTAGGGTTCATCTAACAGTTACTGCGGGTATGGTTTATAAAAAATTTAATGATATCACGGGTAGAATTTATTAAACAAATATGCTAAAACATTAATTAACTGTAGTTTCCATGATCGTGAGAGGAGAAAATGAAACGATAACCGTGTTTGTGTTTTAGACCTGACTACCATCGAACCCAAGAAGCATTTTAGTTTTTCATCGCTGCCCATTGACTCTACCAATACTCCTATACTTTTTTTAATTAGCAAAAGGCATTTTTGCACGAACGAACGAAATCTTTGTAGAACTATTTCGTTTGTTCGTTCAAAAATGAATTAGAAAAGATTTGATGGTAAAACTATTAATTTTGCAATATTTTACCTAAAATTTATTTTGACAATTTTCAACACTCAACCTGTAGGTTGAGCATTGAAAATCAAACAGAACTGATTGTTAGTGGTCAGGAATTAAGGAAAGCTTAAATGTGAGAATAGGACTATTACATAGTATTAATATTTAGCGATAGATCAGTAGAATAATATTTTCTGAATATCAGTGATGAAATAATGCTACTCTTTCAGAGTTCACTCGGATTATTCTACTCATCTTTGTCGTTTTTATAACATTTGCATCGCACGAGACTTTAGGCTTTTTTAAACAATAGGATCGGGACAGTTAATGGTTCGTTTAACATGATTATAAATTTCGAATAGAGAGAGGGTTGTCAAAGTTTCCATTTAAGTTGTTTCCTCCATTTTTTAGCTTATTTTGTAGTGAATGAGCAATTTTGACGTTTTTATGATAGAAAATTAGTTTTCCATTAAACAATGGCGTAGTGTTAATGTAGCATATTTCGAAGCGTGATACTTTTCAACGGTGCAAGAGAAAGACAAAGAAAGTTGTTTTCTTTTATTTTTATTACTTTTCTTCTTTATTTAATGTTTTATTCAGCTATAGCTCCCAGATCACATTTGATATAAACAAGTAGGAAAATAGCGCATATATAGAAAAAGGTGTATACTTATCCTAAGGATTTGTAAGAGATAAGTTTAATACTGTTTCAAATTATTCCCTCTTCTATAAATAAATATGAATAGATTGAGATAGATAGATAGATAGATAGATAGATAGATAGATAGATATGAGCAAACTGGGATAGATAGAGAGAGACAAAGAGATATGAACAAACTGATATATATATATATATATATATATATATATATATATATATATATATATATATGTTGTGTTTTTAGCCAGCAATCCTTCATTTATGCATGTTTTATTAAAAAAAGTCAATGTACTACGGTTAAGCTTTTTATTTTATTTTTCTTGTGTTCGCACAAGAGCTTTCTTTTTTGGACACAGTATGTGTAGAAACTGTCCAAATGTTCTATAATTCTGAGCGCATACACATACTCACATATTTATCTATTTGTATTCATAAACACTTATGCACATACTTGACGAATACATTCCTAAATAAGTACTTAGACAACATGTAAGATGTCCTCAAATACATTACTAACCATATTACTATAAAGAGGCACTTGTGTGTTTTCCATCAAGTGTACCCAGATATATGCACAACGTGTAATTTATGCACCTACCCGTGAAAGTATACAACATATAACACACGAATACACACTTGTAACTAAATACACTGACTGGGGGCACACATGTTTGCACCTACAAAGATATGTCCTAACATAGATATAAAGGCAAAGAAGTACAATAGTATGCTAGTGCATACATGGAAATGAAGAGAGATATGTGAGCGATAGATGCCCAGGTATGAGGGGTTTTTGTAAAGTGAGGTCATATGTGATGAACACGGAGGGGAATTACATGTAGGATCACAGGTGGAAATTCTGACTATGTGATTTATAACCCATTAGTATTTTATGCATACGTAGGGGTAAAACAAAATGTATCTATACATGCAAACATGCGTGTCCCCAGTCAGTGTTTATAGGTACAAGTGTGTATTCGTGTGTTATATGTTGTATTCTCTCACGGGTAGGTGCACAGATTACACGTTGTGTATATACCTAGGTACACTTGATGGAAAACACTGTTAAGTACCCCTTTACAATTATATGGTTAGTAATGTATTTGAGGACATCTTACATGTTATCTAAATACTTATTTAGAAATGTATTCGTCAAGTATGTGCATAAGTGTTTATGAATATATAGATAAATATGTGATTAGGTCTATATATTTGTGTGAACCCATTTATATTAAAACATATGTGTAGATGGATGCGAATATTTGTATGGATGTAGGCACATATGTGTATGTGTATATATATGTGTATATAGAAAAATGTGTATACATATAGGTATATGCATTTGTGTATGTTCTCTAGTTCTCCCTTCCTTTCTTCTCTTCCCTTCTTTTTCATTTTTCTCTGTTCCCTTCCTGAAAAATCATCTCCACTCCCTTCTCTTGTCAGGTGAATAAGAGGTCATCACTACTACTATCGCATCTCCTAGAGACATATACCTCTCTTCTTCCCTTTCTACGTTTTGGAACTATCTTAAAACACAACTTCTGTTAATTTAGTTTTCGTTTTTCGTTTGATTCCGGGAAGAATTTTTGAACCCATTCATTTTTTTGAGACAGCCAGGTCTGACGAAGGGAAATCGAATTCTCGATTTTTGCGAAATAAAATATTACCCTGACTTTCTGAATTTTCTAATTAATATATATATATATATATATATATATATATATATATATATATATATATATACTAGAGTTCAATTGTTTGAGGCCAACCCTGGTAATTTTTTAAATTGACCCCAAAATCTTTTGGTTTGTATTTTAAATAAAAGAAAATTATTATACATTGTCAAAAAAAAAATGGGACCTGATTTTTTTTTTATTAGGAATTATATTATGACAAAAAAAAAAAAAAAGTCATTTTATGATTAAATTTTTCTCTCATCAAAATATCCTCCATGTTAATTCTGGGGTGCCTTCATACTTTTGAAATGTATCATATATTTACATATATATATATATATATATATATATATATATATATATATATATATATATATATATATAAGGTTAATGCAAATATGAAGTTTGTCACTGATTGATGTTGTATTCAGCACCACGTCTCCAGAGTTCGTATACGAACATTTTATCAATCGCTCTGTCCACTCTTCAGTAGATATCAACAATTGATTGCTTATTTTCTCATTTTGGTGAATTCTATATTAAGTTAAAAGTAATTTATGCACTTTTTATTGTTGTATGATTCATTTTTGTCATTGTATTTGTGTTTGTGTATGTGTTTGTGCACACGCAGACGCGCGTGCCTGTGTGTATGTATGTGTGTATATATATGGGCTTATATATTCGTGTGTTTGTGTATATATATATATATATATATATATATATATATATATATATATATATATGCACATACACACACATATACACGCACTCATATATGTATTGTTGTAATGGAATTTCCCACACTCCCCTATCGCCTATGTGGACTAACTATATAAGTAGCTATATATAGTGAGCACAGGATATACCTAGGGTCTTGCTTCGGGAATTACTAGCCTGCCACCCGATTCCCTGTTTTTCAGTAGTGTATTCTCTTTTAAAATAAACCACTCTTCTTTCATCTACGCACGTGTTGCTGTTCCATCACTCGTGTACCACTTTGTCTGTTTATAACCTCTTTAAGCATACAACGACAACACACACACACACACACACACACACACATATATATATATATACCAAAAGAAAACCCCAAAAGTAAAAAAAAAAGAAAATTTGGTAACAACAAAAACAAGAAACTTTACAAGAAAACGGGAAAATAAACTAGAAAAAAGAGAAAAACGCCAAAAGGCAGACATCTTCCTAAACAGTAACCAACAGTGCTTTAGGCCTAGGTTATTAAGACTAAGCAAAAATGCTTCAAGACAGACAGAAACAGGGAGAGACAGAGGCAAAGTGAGAAAGACATATAAAGAAATACAGACAGAGACAGTAACAGAAAAAGCGCTATGGATTCAGAGACAGACAGAGAGAGAAGTAAAAGAAATTCGACCATGAGATTAAAAATATAGTCTCTTTGGAAGTGGGCTCTTGTCTGCTGATTGTGCACTAATTCGCAAAATGTGCCCTACACGCAAGACACCAATCTGCTACTGGGTGGCATGCCACTAATATTTACCGCTGCTGGCCCGCTATCGGGCTGCTAGCGTGTTCGTCTAAACAATGTTACCACTGGCGGACCGCTAGAGGCCCACCGGTGACCCGACGGTGGCTGCCACAAGAAGACCGCTGGCGTTGCCAGGGGCGGCCCGCCAGCAAGCCACTAGCAGCTTTCGCGCAGTGTGTAACTGACAAATAGCGGCAAAATTTCATACTATATTCACACCTGTTATTCAAATACTACTAAGTTTGTGAAGCCTCTTGTAATTGCTAAACCAATATCAGCAGTTGTGAAAACAAATCTCAAAACTAATGTTTTATTGATGTGATTCCTTTCAACATGTCTTTAATCTTCTAAATATCGTCATAGAAAAAATTGTCAGTTTTCAGCCTTGAGGCTTCAAATCGCCCAAGATATTTTCACTGCTATTCGATAGCTGACAATATTGCATACGTTTATTATACGGGATTACTGAGACAATACGTCAGCTTCTAAGTTGTTATTCCTCTTGATATGTGTATGAGTGACATCACAGTAAGACTTTTAAGAAAGCTTTGAAATTCTAGCAAATAAGATAGGATCTAATAAGTGTTATAAACGGTTAAAAGAATTCTGTTTGAATTTCCCAAATGAGGTTTTTATTCACATAAAATAGCTTCTCCAACTTCATTGCCCTTATAATCAAATCATCTTATCAGTAGTCTGAGTAGAGTTAAATGCTGTAATGAAGGTAGTCTAGAACAGATATGCTTCCATCATTTCATGCTAACGCATGGTCCACCAGAGCTCTAACCTTGGACCTACGCTGTTCTTGTCTATCATAAATGATCTCCCCGATGTCATCAGTTACCAATTAGGTATTTATGTAGATGACACAACAATTTAATCCCGTCTTAATAGCAAACCCGATAGACCCAACAAAGTAAAATTGACTTGAAAAGAACCACCAATCACTGGTAAACTGGGGCAAGATATTTTAACGCTTCCAATACAGAGAACCTTTTCTGCCTGCTGTCAGCATGACTAATGCTAAATTCCATGAGAACAACACTCTACGCCTTCTTGGCCTCACGTTTTGCACTGATAACTATATTAATTCAATTGTTACGTCTATTGCAAGGAAATTTGGCTCACTGTGTCGTGTCAGAATTTATTCTTTACAGAATCCACCTTACATATTTATAAATCTACCATATACTGTTACATAAATACATAAATCTACTGAATACTGTTGACATATCTGGCCTGATTTTCCTGCTGTTCATCTCGAGATTCTTGACAAAATTCAAAGAAGTGTCTGTAATGTAATCGATCCTGACCTGGCACCTCGATTTCAGTCGCTTTCTCGCGTGGCTTCCCTCTGAGATTTATACAATTATTATCACGGGAACTGCTCTGGGGAGCTTTTTTTTTTCCTCTGGCGAATTTAAGTGTGCTACTAGATTGGCAACTACGTCTCACCGTTTTACTAATGAACTAGATAGATGCAAACGCATACTCTAATAGTTTCCTTTCTCACACTTCCCACCTGGTGAACTCCCTTTCGATTTATTACTTTACTGATAACTATAATTTTTCCACGATTTAAATGCAACGTCAATCGCCACCTTCTATCTTCTTGAACTCTGTTGCATTTTTTTCGTCCTCAATCCTTTCTTATTCTCTTCTTATTCTCTTTCACTTTCACTTTGTGTCTACCCCTGCGTTCTTGTCGCCTTGCTTGGTGTGAAACAATTAAGAAAATCTACAGAATCCACTCCACTCCCTCCAAAATACATACATTAAATGATTATAAAGTCAATGTTTATTAAATTTGATATCATATTCAAAATTTGATAGAATCTACAATTTGGATCTTTTTCTATCAACGCCCGTTTTCAAACTGATGGCCTTTTTAGTCCAGACTCCGCTGATAATACGAAGGAGTATAACTGCAAACATCAAGAGACATTTCCTCTTGTATTGTGTTTATATTCGATCCTAGAATAAATCATCGACACGTTTCCTATAAACCATCGAAAGACACCATATTTACTGCTGCCGGAGTAGCATTACCAACAGCCGCGGTAATGGTTGGATCAAGACCAAGATATCATCCGCCTTCAAGCTGGTTTTGAATTCAGAATCGTCCTTCTCTTAGACTGATTAGCTAAAGTGAGCGCTGTGTTTTATTGTTTAAGGCCTCCTATATATATATATATAGGTAAATATTAGGTTGATGCAAAAATAATGACGTAATAATGTCGTTTTTTGACGTTAAAAAAATACGTGAAAAAACGACATTATTACGTCATTATTTTTGCACCAACCTAATATATGCTGTCTTTCCTAACGCCGTTAGCCGGAACTCAGCTCACCGGTTTCATTTTCTGCTCCAATATCCAGTAAGCCAATGACACATCCATACACTGATGTGTTAAAAGTCATGAGATAGCAGTATGTTAAGTTAATGGTAGGTGGCGCCATCTTGACTTAATTTTATGTGATCGAACTACCCAGACCTCTCATTTGGGCTCTGACATCTGACGAGTCCCTCGGTAAGGCTGCTGTCAACAAAGCGATTTTTTTTAAAAAGTTCATCCAATACAAGGCTCAAGAGCTATTCTAGGTAAAACGTTACTGAATGACTAGAG